GAAAGAATCTTTTTTTGCAAATTTTTGTAAAAAAAAAAGCCAAGTTAAATTGACCATGATCCAAGACTGAAAAGCATCAAAAGGGGAAAAACTTCCAAGGGGGTTGAAATACTTTGTATAGTCTGGCTTAGAGAGTTGGAAGGAGAAGATGTGGTTAATAACTGATTAGCATAAAATCAAAGGAGAGGATTTTTTTTTTCTTCCTCTGAAGTGTGTGACACCAGTGATTTGAGACCGCTGTAGTATCTGTAGGAGGTTTTATTTTTTCTTCCATAACCATCAACAGAATGACTAACAACAACACTATGTGCAAGTAGGGCTGTCAGTATATTCCCAGTAACAAAAATGTATTTCCCAATTACAACCATTTAATACATATGACAGCGGGGTCTGTGGGGCTCCCTCCCAAACAAAACTTTCAGCAAGGCCCACAGTGCTGCTCAGAACTGGGGTCTTACACGGGGATGGCTCTGCTCAGCTTTGAACGCTGGTCAGGCTTTTCCCCTCCACTGAAATCGACAGCCAGTTTTTGCGCTTAGAGACAAATCTCCATGTCCAGATCATTACTGAGGATGTGCTATTGCATTTACTTTTCTAACCGAAGAGAAACGTGCTATTCAAACACAATACCGTGAGCGTTCTTACTATTGGCATCCCTTTTATCATTGGCCAATAACTATGTGTTGTTCCAGCACATCGGTACAACAGATTGGAAATGATAATGAGCAGATCAAAAGTGGGGTCATAGAGAAATCACAATGTCAGTAATGACTCATGCATTTGCAACACATCGAGTTAATGAGGTTGTCAGTGTTGGCTCCAGGAACGTTTTCTCTTCCTGAATGGGTTGGAGGAGTTGGTAGATATTTTAGGGGACAAGATCATATCATTGGCTCCTGGCTAAACTGCTTCATGAAGCGCTTATATTGTTCAGTGAATAATATATTTTTTTTACATTATCTCAAATGACACCATGTCTAACCTACACTTGTAGTGACAAATCCATCTGTGAATACAGCATCTTAACCACTTTCAGCTCTTTTGGGTTTTATAGCCTGTTTTGATTGCTCAGTGTAGCCTTTTTAATAAAAGAACTAGTCGATGTTCTTGTGACATCCCCAGAAGCGATCCACTCACGTCCCAGTGTTTCAGACGGTGATGTGATTTAGCAAAGCAACGCACAACTGCATCTATATCCGTTTTGAGTCCCACAGCAGTCAAACAGATTGTGATGCTTTGTGTTGACGGGACAGTGTTTGTGGCATCTCTTGTGTCGATGACTCACGTATCAGTATGTTGTTTTTTTCAGGCCTTGAAGACGAAGGGTTTGAAAGGCTGGAACAGCTGGCTTATTTATACCTGGCAAATAACAAGGTGAGTGATACACCTGACTTTTCTTTTTCTTTTTTTTTTTTTTTATCTCAGCGCTTACCCGATGCAACGGCATGTTTCTTCTTTCTCTCTCTAAACTGTTTCTCTGCATTCCATCCCGACTGACTGACATCAGCTGGCAGAGAGAGGTGGCAGCCTCCTCTCATACAGTCTGTGTGAGCTTATGCTTGTAATCACTTCCAGTATGGCTGTGCCAGCTGGTCCGAGCTAAAATGTTACTGACCCTTTTGGACACAGAGAGCGAGAGAGAGAAAGGATGGACAGATTTGTTTGTGCCTTCACAGGGATGAATAGGCAAACAGGATACAGAAAGAATAGAGGATTTTTAAGTGCTCGCTAAGCCTCAAAGACACCCATGCTGCTTTAATCCATAAACCATGTTATAAAGGAGAGAGCTCTAAATGAACATCTAATCTCAGCGATGCTTCTCTTGTTGCTGTGTTCTCTGCTGTTTTTGTACAACGTAGCGCTGTGGGATTTTTAGCAGGGGTGGCTGAAGTTAGAAAAACCTTGCTTTCATGAAGGGGGTGCACAGCTTAACATCCAGCACCTCTGCTCTGGCAGTGGTGGAAGGTAATAGATTTACTAAATGCTGCACTAAAGTACAAATGTGAGATCTTTACATGGATATTCACATTTTACACAACTCCATCCTTCCACTCCGCTCCAGACGAAAGTGTACTCTCTGCTGCAACACATTTGTCTGACAGCTTTAGTTACTTTAAAAATGAAGACTTGACACAATAGATTATATAACCGGCTTTTAAACCGCATCACGTTGTTAAAGATTAAACCAGTGGGTTCCAGCCTTTTTGGCTCCTTACAAAAAGCAGTGTGTGGCCGCGCTCACATTTCAACTCTCTGAAAGCTGTTAACTAAACAGTGATTTTTTCCATCTAAACATCTCACATGGTTTCATTTCGATAAATGTTCCAATGATACCTCAGCAAAAAAGGGAAAAACTAAAAACAGATTTGTGGATCAGAACTTGTTTTTTTTTTTCTTCTCTCCTGTTCCTATTTATCATGTGTGGAGATAAAAATGTTCATCAAGTAGTTCAGACCTCCTGCTGCAGCAACAACATCAACACCTCACTTTTACTCATCTAATGATAATCCAATGATATCATGAATCCTCTACGTTTTACAATCAGTGCAACAACTGAGCTCAAATGTAAAAATGTTGTAAGTACCTGGGAATGGGATGGCTTGCATTAGTGTGCTTTTTTTTTAATGATTATTTACAGAATGTGGTAAATAGAAATTATTTATTTTTTGGCAATTTTGAAGTCCATCCATCCATCATCTATACGCCGCTTAATCCTCACAAGGGTCATGGGGGGCTGGAGTCTATCCCAGCCGACTTAGGGTGAAGGCAGGGGACACCCTGGACAGGTCACCAGTCTATCACAGGGCCACACTTAGAGACAGACAACCAAGCACACTCACATTCACATCTACGGACAATTTAGAATCACTAATTAACCTCAACATGTTTCTTGACTGTGTGGGAGGAAGCCGGAGAACCCGGAGAGAACCCACACTGCACGGGGAGAACATGCAAACTCCACGCAGAAAGATTCCGGTGCCTCCACCGGGACGCAAACCGGCAACCTTCTTGCTGCGAGGCAACAGTGCTGCAATTTTGAAGTGATACATTTATTTAAGTTATGAAATCTCACAATTTTAACATTAAATTTTGTTAATTTTCCCCACAGAGGTCACAAATGATTAGATTAAGGACCACTGGAAAGATCCTGCAAAAATTCTTGTTTATTGCAGTTTCTGGCTGATAAATGGTGACAGGTCTGTGATATATTTACTTAAAGGAATGACAACATGCTTTTCAAACCTGCCTGTATGCGTTGGGGTTCAGAAGGTTGAAACTAATAACTAATGAAGAAACAAGTAGTGCCAGTGTTTGACGGTGCAGATGTAATGTGCTACCACCCACACTCTCAGAACCTCTTGATGCTGTGTGTCAGGTTTTTATTACAACAGGTGACAGTTTCAGAACTCATCCTTGTATACTATATGGGAAGGTAGAGTGGCCATCACTTACAATTCAAAGGGACCAACACTGTCTTTTTTATTTACAAAATTATCCTAAATAAATTATTTTAAAACTTTAAAACATGAGTTAAGTTACCTTGTCAGATTACCTTTGATATTCCATTTACGAGTACAGAACTGGTAGGAGCTGCTTTTAACATAAAGCTGTTCTGTTCAATTATGTTTCATATAATTAATGTTAACAATGTTTCTGTTTTTCTTAGCGTGTCTGCTTTGTCCTTCTGTAATGTACGCGTTGAATGTTTTGTTTTTACGCTTTTATACTAATTACACTAATTATTTTTATCGTGTTTTTCAGGTCTTTGTGAGTGAGCGCCGTGCTCTAATTAGTTTTTTAGTGTTCTTAGTTAAATAGCAGATATCAATTAGCCAGTGAATCAATCAGTCGAGGTACAAACCAGACCAAACCTGTGCTTTTACTTTGATGCTTCAGATATATTTTGCTGCTAATAATTCTGCACTTTAACTTAAGTAGGATTTTTGACGCAGGACTTTTACTTGTAATTGAATGTTTACATGGCTGTATTGGTGCTTTTACTTAAGTAAAGGATGTGAATATCATTCTCACCACTGGGCAGTGAACACTTCTTTGGAAATGAAGTATGTCAAAGCAAAACCAGAAGAAAAACTCCTCATAACTAAAGCACTTAACAGTTTTTGTCATTGTCTTTCAAACAAATATTTGGTTCGATGTTGGTCTTTAAAATAACCTCATTCACTGCTTCAGATTGTTGTAATCATATTCTGTCATACTTTTTTTTCTTGTGCTTGCAGCTCCAATATGCACCAAAGGTCCTCCCGCCCTCTTTGGTTAGTGCTGATTTTGCTGCTAATCAGCTCACAAGGATCTATCCATACACATTTGGACAAAAACCAAAGCTGAGGTACAAGTGTATTCGTGGTTGTTGAATTGTTGTAAATGTAGCCCTGCCTCCCGGAGTCATATCTTTGAACACGTGTCCTGTGCTCGTGGCTCTCAGGTCTGTGTATCTCCACAACAACAAGCTGACTGATGCGGGGCTTCCTGATCACATGCTCAATGCTTCAGACAACCTGGAGATCCTCACCATGTCCAGCAACTTCCTGCGGGTCGTCCCCAAGAACCTGCCCTCCAGTCTTTACCGCCTTCACCTGAAGGTGTCGTACCTGCAGCACCACTTTATATTTGGAGAGTAGGCGAGCTAAAAAAAAAAATCACTGGAACACCTTTCTGCTTAAGTTTGCATATAGATATTTGCTAGATGTCATTTGTTTATTTATTTTATCTGTAAATGTGGCGACAACATAAGACTGTTCCTGTTGTTGCAGAACAATAAGCTGGAGAAAATCCCAGCAGGGGCGTTTGACAACTTGTCCAACCTCAGAGAGCTGTATCTCCAGAACAACCTCCTCAGCAACGAGGGCATGGACAACGAGACTTTCAGGTAGACAGAAACCTCCCAAACTGCACTGTACAATCATAAATCAAGACAATATATTTCTAATTACCTGGGAGTTTTATTGTTTCCCTTGTTTGTTTTTTGTTAAAATGATCCTAATAAGATATTTTAACTTATTTCTGAGATTACTAAATAAACTAATGCTTAAAACTAGAATTAAAAAATGGATTTTTACCCAATGGGATCTTTAATAAATAGGAAGGGCTTTTGTTATTTATTATAAGAACAGGACTGTTAAGTTTGTTACCTTCCATACATCTGACACTTTCATTTTCCAATGACTTTTATATTATTTCTGCATCCTTTGTCCTCAGTATAATATGCAGATGTAGCTTTTGAAAAGCACAGAAATGTATTGTAGTGTCCTGAGCAGATGTGTCAGAGGAGTTCCAGGTTTGGAGTATTAACTGTGGACATTCATTTAGTTGTTGTATGTCTGTCTCCTTGTGTTTACTGTTCAGCTATACTTGGGTTGTATTTTATTCACCTTCATGTTAGAGTAGTAAAGCTGTGACACCATGAGTGCAGTGAATTGCAGGGTTGATGACAATCCATGTTCACACTGATGTTCAGAATGATGCTTTGTTTGTCCTGCAAAGTAAAGAGCGGAGAATAGGAATTGAGAACATTGAGATTTATCTCTCCCTTTAAGGCTTGTTTGTACTTCTTTAAAGCAATAAGAATGTTCTTGGGCAGTGCCAAGCCCAACATGCACTGCAAAATAGTGACAGGGGAGTTGTTTTGGTGGAACATCTGGATGCAGGGAGGGGTGAGCACTGTTACTAAAATAGACAATTCACTGAAAAAAACAAGCAGACCTGACTTATTGCCAGATCCAAAACCATCCATTTTTAGGATGTAGGTTGCTGTTCTGAGGTTGTTGTTGTCGACTCCCGTAGCTAAGGGGATTTTGAAAGTGGTTGGGGAAGGGGAGAAGGATACAGTGTCGGGGAGGCAGTAGATTTATACCAGAAATGTACATTATGTGAGAGAAACCAGCTCGCTGTCTGAACACAGTCCTGGCTCTGTAAATGGGAAACAAAAAAGTAGCTTGGAGTGATCCACAGAACACTATTCCAGTGTGTATATATTCTTGCCGTGTGAAATTTTCTTGTTCCCTTCCTTTTAAGACCTGAGTTTTTTGCAGCTTAAAAACAGAAAAGCAATGATTGTACACGCATCTATATGTTTTCCAAGTGCACGCAAGCCAAAAGCTGCGAAGACTATGTGAAAGCACAGGAATCAACTGGCTTGATGAATTCCTCCCCTTCTCTCCCTGCAGTCAGCTGAGCAGCCTTGAGTGTCTGGACTTGTCAAATAACAACCTGAGCGTCGTTCCCAAGGGTCTGCCTCGCAATCTAGTGCTGCTACACCTGGAGAAAAACTCCATCCGAAGCATCCCAGGAGATGCTCTGACTTCTGTCAGAAACCTGGAGTACCTGCTCCTCCACAATAACAAGCTCCGCTCCCGTTCTATCCATCCGGCTGCATTCCAGGTGCAATATATTTCTTTTCCACTTCACATTTGTTTTGCAGAAAAAAAACATTCTTGAGTAAAAACATGGATGCTTTATTTTAGAGACTGGAAGAAATCAAATGTTCAGTCAGTTTATCAAATTCAGTGCACAACAGTGGATCACGTCTTAAATCTTAAGTTTGTGTTTTCTCCAGGGCCTGAAGAAGCTCCACACGCTGCACATGTACAACAACTTGCTGGAGCGTGTTCCCAGGGGTTTGCCACGGCGAGCCAAGACCCTAATGCTGCTCCACAACTCCATTAACGAAATTGGACGCAATGACTTGTCCCTGCTGTACACCCTGACAGAGCTCAACCTCAGCTACAACAAGCTGTCCAGCCCCAAGATGCACCGCGAGGCTTTCAGGAAGCTGCGTGTGCTGGAAACCCTGGACCTGTCGGGGAACAGCCTTTACTCGATGCCCATGGGTCTTCCTCGCAGTCTGCAAGTGCTTGAAATCAAGAACAACCAGCTCAACTCCATACCGGACGGTGCGCTGACCGGCATGGAGAAGCTACGGAAGCTGGTCCTGAGTGATAACCAGCTGAAACTGAACTCGGTCTACCAGGGAGCCTGGATGGAGCTCGGGGCGCTATCAGTAAGTGGCTGGCAGAGACACAGATCAGATGTTTTGCATCCCTTGTTCGCTGCATTAACAACCTTAAGTTTAGTGTTTAGTTGTAGACTCTGACTGGAGAAGCTGAGGACATGATAATACAGTAGCGACCTGTCAATCACAAGGTGGCCCTGGTATAAAACATATCCTGCTTCTAGAAAATAAACACCATGCTGTACTCAAAAAGTCCCGAAATTAGCAAGTGAGACTGTAAAATCTTGAATTTCAAAGCATTTCTTCTTAAAAGGCTACTGTGGTGGGAAATTGTTCCAACATGTTCATTATTCATTCTGTATCTTGCAACTTTAGACGCTAGACCTGTCCGGCAACCAGCTATCCCACATCCCCTCTGACCTGCCTGAGTCCCTGGAGTACCTTTACCTGCAAAGTAACCGCATCTCCAGCGTTCCCGCTTCAGCTTTTGAAGGCACTCCGAACATCAAAGGCATCTTCCTCCGGTAAGACACGCACAAACCACCTGCTATCAACCAGGAGAACGTCGTCGTTCAATTCAGTCTTTGACTAGTAGATGTCACGTCGTTAACACTCTCGTCGACCATTGGTTCACCCTTCGCAATTCACACAAGCTGTTTTACTTTGTCAGATGGACACATGGAGGGATATGATAGGGGATCTGTTGTGAGGCTACAAAAGCTACAAATGGTTCCTTTCCAGGTTTACTGATCGTCAATCAGGAAGTCAGCTCAGATGGAATTTGTGCAAAATGTCAAGGAACAGTTTGACATCCGAAAAATATGTTTTCATAGGAAGCATGTAGATTACTCATGACATAATCCAAAGCCAATCATGTGGCAGCAATGCAGCATAAAATCAGTGTTCAGGAGCTTCAGATAATGTTCACATTGAACATCGGAAGAGAGAAAAATGCAGGATAACACACCAGAGCTTCGGAGCGTGACCGAGAGTTTAGTGTCCTTCTTAGCTACTAATTTTGAATTCAGTTGAACACCTTTGGGATGTGGCTGAACGGGAGATAAGCAGCCTAAATGTGCAGCCGACAAATCTGCAAAATCTACACATCTGCCCGGAGCAGATCCTCTGCAGTATGTCAGAGACGTTAAGACCTGAGGCTGTTTAGGGAGCAAAGTAAACTAAAACAGCCCTCTGCTTACCTTGCATCTTGATGAACTAGTTTCTCAAAACTTTTCATCGTCAAGGGTGTTTTCAAAATTTAGGAACTCTTTGTTCTTTAAGAGGCTGATTAAAAAGAAGAGAAAAATCTCAGACAAAAGCAGTTAAAGTCAGCTGCCAGTTGTTCATTAGAGATCTGTGTCTGACTTCAAGTTATTCATTCCCTCTCAGCTTCAGCGTCTTTCTTAATTACTGCAGAGCCGCCTTCGTCTCTCCTCTTTATTGCAGACATTTTCTCTCAGAGCAAAAATGTTTAAATTCCTTTGAGACCCATTTTGCCAGGTGAGCACCAACCAGTGTTCCAAAGCAGATAAAATGTGGCTACAACATCAACACATCACATTCAAATCCGTATCTGGATCATTTGTGTATGTTGTAGGTTCAAAGACAAGCAAGATAGAAGGAATTTCTCCAAAGTCTTATTGTACTGGTATGCGAAATATGGCTTACATGAAAATATCAACACATTTCTAATAATGTTTTATAGATAAGGGAATATGTAGGCTGTGTTTTGCCAACAGAAAGCTTCCAGAATGTTATAATAGGAGCAGTTTATGCAGTATAAAATATATATAAATATATAAATAAAATAGTTAATTGCTATAACATCTTTTTAATATTGCAAGTCTTAAAGATAAATAGTCTAAATATGAAAACTTTCCATCTTTTGAAGCTGTCCTGACAAGTCTTTTTGCCCGTGACTGGGTTGAATGGGTTCTTTGAGTAAAGAGAAATCGTCATATGCCGACAACCCATCCCAGTCAGTTCATCATTGTTGCTCGGAGAATCCAGAACGCTGGCCAGTCTGTGCAATCAAAGCACCTCCACTAGACAAGGGCGCTGTCCTCACTCCACATGTGGATCTGACGTTTCTGGACTTTCTCTTCGATCTGTTGACCCTTTATTGGAGCCATAGAACAAGTCCAGAGTCCTGCTGCGGTAGGTGGGACATGCAGTGTGCTGATAAGTTACCCTGGGGTCATAGTACAAATAGACTAGAAAAACTACATTCAGCGAGGAACTCATCTAAGAGTCTGTTTCATTGTAGGCCACTGCAAGCTTGCAGCTTATTAGGTTTATCCTGCTCTTGGGAGATAAGAGAGATTTTTTTATCCTTGGTGATCGAGCTTTCCTGCAGTCTCACATCACCTGTCTTCCCTCTTTCTGGGTCCATAAAGAGATAAAGACACCTGCCCCTCCCCTTTTTTTAATCAGCCTGTTTAAGTATGTTGTACTTTAATTTGACCTCATTATTCTGTATAAAATGTATGAACACTGAATTGGGGGGACATTGTGTTTAGCTTTCATCCAGCAGCAGTCAGTCCCAGAGCTACATCTGTGTAATAAGAAGAGCCATAGCAGCAGGACAGCGGTGTGACTTTCTGATGACACGTCAGGTTAAAAAGTCTCTGAAAAACAAGTTTGCAGCTAACGTACAGGAACTAGTAGACTGCTGTCTGAAATGTCTGCACTTTGGGGGATCTGGAAGGTCCATATCAGCCATCGTCTAACAAGAATGATAAAGGATTTATATTTCTGAGGGGTATTTTTAACTCAAGCATAGCAAGAGCTCTGTATAAAAGGCTACAGAGCACCTGTTGTCGAGCCCCTAAGTAGCACTGTTCATCTTATTTTAAAAACTGAAGTGTAAAAATGACACTCAATGGTTTTATAATTGATATCCATCAGATTATTTCTTTGACAGGTGCAGGTACTTCCCCAATCAGCCCATTTTGAATTCAACTTTATAGCTATCTTCTAATTCTTCACATTTCTTCATTCAAGAGATTCAGGTTTCAGCGTTCAGTAAACCTTTTACACAAACGTCCTTGGTGCTCTGGTCGATTACTAATCAGCAGCATTTACTATGTGTCGGACATTCTGACTGAGCTTCATTTTGCAGAGTACTGCAGCCTGCTATCTAATCTCTCCATCTCCTTTATCTTGTGTGCATTCAGCAAAATTTCCTCTTTGGTTTATTCCACATAGTGCCGGCTTATACTCACAAGCCCTGCAGCTGAAAGCAGCGCTCAGACAAGAGTAAAAGGGTTTCGGACATGCGCTTTCAAGCCTTTTGTTCTGTTTGGTTTTCAGGCTGACCCCAACCCTGCTGCTCTGTGGCTCGCGTTTACGGGCCTTGACCCCTTCCAGGCTGTTGTTCTCGTCGTTTTTTTTTTTTTTTTTTCATATCAGCTGCTGCCACATTTCTTTTTCAGTTTTTTTTTTCCCCACCAAAATCCCCCTACAGCTGGGAGCCTTTGGCCTGAGCCAATTTAGAGCCGCTGCAGTGGGGGAAGTGGAAGGAGGATTTATGCATGTGTGTGCGTGTGTGTGTACTCGTTACTAATTGCATGTGAATTGCATGTTGGCTTGTTGTTGAAGTTCATGGACAACATATGCAAACATTTTCTCTGATAGATGCGAGTAGATGCCATTGATTCCAAGTTTGTTTTGGAGGAGTGGTGCGGTTGATTCGTATGTGCTCCGCAGATGGGTCCCACTATGCTGATTGCTGAGCGTACAGAAGCTGCCTGATGCTCAGATTTGTAACTGTTAACCGCCTCCTTTGCGTGAAGGATTTTTTCCCTCTGAAAGCCTTGTCAGCAGAGTTCAACTGAGAAACATACACCTCCAAATGTGCCTTTGTTTTTTTTCTCCTTTGAAGGTTTAACCGCCTGTCTGTGGACTCCGTGGACGAGAGCTCTTTCGCACACCTGTCCAACTTACAAGTGCTGGACATCGGCACAGGAAACGCCGACCTCCCTTTTAAAAAAGACGAGACGGAGGGCGATGAGATGATGGAGGAGGAGGAGGAAACATAAGATACGCTCAATTCAACTGACATTGGACTGCGTCGTGTTGATGACAGAGAGGACTTTTAAATGGGAATGAACCTGTGAATGTCGTTTCCCAGGTCCATTTTTGTGTTGTGCTGAGTGTGCAGAGTCACGTATTTCTGGTGCAGGATACCGGATGAAGTTGCTTTAGTTTCCATTTGTTGGGCTGGTTAGAAATGCATATATATCTGAGCTTTATTGTTTGTTTTTGACGATTGACGTGACACATCGATCACTTAATTGTGTATGTTTATTCTAAAAAATCATTCAGAAAAGTCAATGTGAAACTTCCCATGTAAATGTTCCTGAATCGATATCAAACATGCGAGCAGAGCGGAAAAAAGTGCAGATTGTGCTCCCACTGTTACCTGCTTTCTTTTCTAAATGGCTGCCTTGACATTTAAAGGGGATTTTACTGGTGATACTGTGAAACAGTTTGTCGCAAGGGTGGAAAAATGAGCAGCCTGAGTCCCACTGAAACGAGCAAAGCCACAGATTCGATCTAGAAGCATCCAAAAAACTCATCCAAAGGTTCTGTTTGAGCAAGGACTTGGCAACAGTGGAGAGGACACTCTAAAAAATTTTGGATAAACCTCATGATCTGGATTCAAAAAACATTAAATGGGTCCTTCCTTGGCTCATGCTCCATGTCTTCCCCAAGTATCATGAAAATCAGCTCAGTAGTTTTTTGCCTAGTCCTTCTGAGAGACAGAAAAAATCAACAATTGGTGATATAGAAAAGAAAGAATAACAAAAAGCTGGACACCTTCTGAAAGCTTCAATCCCTAAAGGCCTCATTATATCAAGCACAATTCAGGTCTTTTCGAAAAATCACTGAATTTGTATTCTGGAAATGCGTTTTGATTGTTCCTGGCAGGTTCTGCCTTTCCCACATAGAATACAGATTGAAGGTGTCCTGTGGAGTTTTCAAACAGTCATGCATTGTGTTTACATCCCATTTCAGTAACCTAAGCACATCCTCAAAGCCTAAATAATGTGTTGAATGCATTTACTTCCTTTCTCATAACACATTTGCCAAGCCAGCATTCTCAGGCATTTTAAATTCAGCATCGTTCCACGTTTATTCACTACCGGTCTTATTTTTTTCCTGCTTTTCAAAGGTCAAAACCCCCACAGGGAGCCTTTGAATATCAACGCACAACGGATTCATAGGAAGTTATGCATAAACATGTTGGACGTGATACAATTAGTTAACTTAATTAAAAATTGATATTGAGTTAATTTGAATTCCATTAAACACTCCAAAATTGACAAAGTAGTTTTTCTTCCTCTATTATCCACTCAGAGCATGTTTGTTGCCCCCCAGCGACTAATACATTTTGATATCTTAGACTTGCTGCTACACCAGAAAAAAATCAGCTGAAACCACAGATTGTATGTAATAGATGGATGTGGCCTCTGAGTCTGAAAAGTAAAGCCAATGCAGAAGTGCCTTAAACCTGCGTTCTGCCTGGTGGCCAGCAGGGGGCGACTCCTCTGGTTGTAAAAAGACACCAGATTGTGCAGAAGTGAAGAAGAAAATAACCGTGTTTGCATTACATATTCTTGATACATTACAAAAAGTTATTGGAGATAACAAAATTTAAAACGTCACTAACTTTACAAAATGTTTGCGCGCTCACTTAAAGTGTTTTTTGGTCTTTAATGCGCTTCATTGGAGATTTGAACGCATTTAGGAAATATTTGTGATATAGCAAACATTTATCTTCTTCTTTTGTTGCCCATCTGTTCATTCGTTGTTCATCTTTGGATAGCATGAAACGTGGCCGATATCAGCTAACACGAAAAAATATCTACAACTTTGCTTGATTTAAAACAATTCCTAAAGACTTCTCTCCATTTCGCTCTGATAGATGACTCAACATTTGTTTGTTTGTTTGTGTTCTTTAAGGTTTTTAGGTGGTTGGTAAACAACTAAGTTTGGCAGCTTTCTCTGTTCTGTTCATTACAGCCTGCGCAACATAGACTATAGCGCCACCTTCTGACGACTGTATGCAGTCTAGTTTATTTGCTTCAAAGCCAATAAAGCAAACAGGCATAGTTTACCGTAAATTCGCTTGACAAATATATGACATGCAGCTATTACTTCTCATTTCATTTATCGTCTCAGTTAAGTAGTGATTTATTCTCTCAATTGCTAGCTCAAGTCACCTTCAGCACAATATTTTTTATGGTCCCATTTTGAGTAAAATGATGATAAAGCAGGATGTGCTTCAGAGTGTGACTGTAAAGTTGCTGCTGCACTGTATTTCAAAAACACAACAGGACAACAGCCAAATGCCAAAAACAGTAGTTCTCAAACCCATGTGTGACGTTACTGTGGCTACATCCGTCTTTATACACAGTCTGTGGCCAAAACTGAAATCATAAGACATCCAGCCTTAACCCTTAAATGCTCAGTAGTTTTATTGATGAACTATTTAAATTATTATTCAAAATGATCTTTGTTGTTTCAGTCATTTGCCTGAAATTTGACTTGTTGAATTGAACCTCTAAAGACGTAGAAAAGTGACATCAGAATGCAGCCAGTGAGTTGTTTTAATGACAGCAGCGCTCCTTGAAAGCAGTGATTTACCGACAGTGTGGATAAATGTGCACGTCTGTACTTTCCTGTAATTATTTGTGCTTGTGTACTTAATATTCCAAACACAAAAGCAACATTCACATATTTAAAGCTTCAATCCAAGCTGCTCCTTCAGTCTACTCATGTCTTCTAAACAGAGAGCCGATATTTTTATACTGACATTGAAAGTACTCCTATTACACTCACTATGTTGCTATGAATACAGTGCCAGTTTTACACACATCAGTATTGTATTGTCACATACAGTATACAGCCATCGAACACAGCAGTAAATTATTTGAAAAGGCTTAAGAAGACTGTGCGTTTCCTAATTGAGCAGTATATCTGGAGGTTTACGTAAACAGGACAGTGTCGCTGATCATTTGCCTCCTGTATGCAGCTTCTGCACATATCACACCCAACACCTTAAAAAACCGCCAGATACGGTTGAATGAAAAACAAAACACATCTCAAAGTCTGATTTCTTCCCATGAGACAAATACTACGTGTTGAGAAGTGCACTGAAATCTCTGGCAGTCGCTGTGCAAAGGGTTGACAACATGGTTGGTGAAATGGCAAAATACAAAACCTGTTATTTTGGGTTAGTATTGAGTTAAATGCACCTTCATGTACTGTTGAAAGAACAGGTTCAGATTTTTGTTCAAGTCTGTCTTATTACAAAACTTCAATGTTGTAATACCTCCTGATTTGATCACGCTGGCCATAAGAACGGTCTTTCTACTGTGGTAGAACTTTATAGGTGTGATCAGGTGGAACAAATACTGGTGATAGCATTTATTGGGTCAATGGAAAGATGCAAGTTGGTATCTGACAACATTTCATCCTGGGGTAATATGTCAATTTAATGTTCAGCAAACAATCTGCATTCATCCCTGAACTCATAGTTTGAAGAAAATGCCACAAGTCAAATGTTAAGTGTGCCTTGGGTTGGGTGGTGTCATTGGAAGGTGGTGTCGTAGGCCACATTTCACATGACTGCAGCTGTTAAAAAAGAAATACATTAATAATACCAGTTGCCTTGTCCATCTATGACATAAAAATGTAGAGAGGTCTACAGAGGTATTCAATTAGGCAAGTTTTAATCATTCTTTCATGCAGCTAGTATCCAACATGTGTCATGCTCTTTGGAGACGAAGCAATATGAGACACAGAAACAGAAGACCAGCCATGTGAGTTAAATGTTTGCTTTGTCAAAACATCTTCTGAAAGGTCTTTTTCATCTTCTGTAAGTGTTAACTGTTTTCCAAGAAAGGCAACAACTGCCTCATGTGGCTGTAAAATGTAGAAAGCTTTTCAAATTTTGCCGTTTCCATTAACTTTTTCTAATTTAATACTTAAACTGGAATGGATGGAAATGGAAACATGACCATTGACCAGTTGGTAATAATAGAACACAACCAGCCAAATCAAGTTAGTGTTTGACTAGACTTGGGGATCCATTTGGAAGAAGGGGTTTGGTTTTCATCCTTCACTGGTTGCACTGGAGTTGCAGCTGACCATAGCCATTTAGGTCCATTATGAACAGCAGGAATACTGAACCTATGCTTTGAAGAAATGTCTTCAGTACATCAGTGGAATAAGATTATATCAACTTGTACAGTAGAAATGCAACAGCTGGAAAGTAACCTCATGTTTTATGGATGTGGAAATGTTAAGATCTCCTGTCTGATGTGGAGCAAACCAACAAACACTTAAATTAAACTGCCAGAGGTTGTTTTTAGGCTGCTCATGTGCCAGGAAGCTTAATTAGATCAAGTGCTCCTGCGGCTGTTCAAATACATAAAACCATTCAAATTGCTATTTTGCCCACGTATCAAACATGACCACAGGGATAAGCAAAGTTCCTGATCTTCTGCTTCACCGCCTCCTCTCCCCATCGTTGCCGTCAGCCCAGCACCACCAGCGTTGTTAAGGCAAAATTAAACAGTTAGGGCATTTCACTTTGCCTCCTGATCACTCAGCTCTTGCAATCCTGTCCGGTCCCTTGTGACGCAAACACGTGGCTGCTTGCAGTACGGAAGTATAAAATATAATAAACACTTGTCTTATTAACGTGTTGCACAGTGACAAAAAAAATTAGAAATCATATAAAATGTAGATATCAAATAAAAATCAGTTAATTGATAACTAGTGCTCACACCTGTATTCAGTCTTCAGTGCGAGCTCACCCTGCAGCTCCAGACCAAGGATCAGTTTCAGGATGGAACTCATGAGCCACTGTCAATGTCCAGTCTTATTTCACTTCTACTAATCACCTGCTTTGCACTCAGACGCTGTCCTCGTAGTTTCATCACGGAAACGTTCTGACTACAATAAGCTGAGAGACAAAGATGAGCTCCTCCAAACTGCACAGGTGTCCTTTGTTCCCGTCAACACAGCTACACGGACGACCCACCAAACTCCACGAGGAGGCTATACGTTGGTCTCAAGGCCATTCATGTCAATGGTGCAGTGTTCTTTGCTCTTCTTCAAGTGCCTCGGAGGAACCGGAGGCTTCTTCCTGTCTGAAAGCGGCCGAACGCCCTCCTCCAGCTGCATGAGTCGGGCCACGTCGGGAGGGACGAGCTCATGTTTGACCCCCGAGGAAGGGGGCCGGTAGTTGCCGTTCTTGTTGTGGCAGTTCATCAGGGGAGGGGTGCTCAGTGCCGTTTTGGTCTCGCAGATCAAAGGTACCTGGAGGCCGACAAGATATTTAAAGATTTAAAAAAAGATGCCAATACTTTGTTTTTTAATGCTCCTTTATGCTTACATGATATCGTTTGGTAAAAAAAACCAAAACATCCTACTTTTACTGAAGGTCTACTCTTATGTTGTGTTTAGCAAAAGCTGTGACATTATAAGAAACAAGTAGCGTGTGGTACCTCAGGAAGTACTGACAGCTCACTGGGGGACCACCCTTTGATCGGTCACCTTGATCACTCTTATGTTTTTGCACTTTGTTTTGTTGTGACTCACCCCATCTCCCTCTTTCATGAAGTCCTTCCTGCAGATGTGTGCCATGATGCCTGTAGCCAAAGCATCCCCCATTACATTCACCATGGTGCGGAACCTGTCTCTGTAGCAGAGGAGGACATTTTAGGGAGGATTTTAGGTAAAGAAAGCTGAGTTTTTGCTCTGCCGTGATTAGTTTGGATGTTTGGGAACACTTACAAAGCCCAGTCCACTGCAATGATGAGGGTGATGTCATCAGTCGGCAACCCTACGGATGTTAGCACGATCACCATGGTGACCAGTCCGGCCTGTGGAATCCCTGCTGCACCGATGCTGGCTGCAGTGGCTGTGATGCTGGAGGAGATTTGAGAAATCATTAAATTAATTAAATTAATTAACTGCAGAGAAAATGACCCCAAGTGTCACTTAAAGCCCCACTATGGGTTTTTGTCCTGAGAACATTCCAGTTTCAGTCTCACAGAAGCTATCACTTCTGCAATTCTCTCCTATTTTCTTACTGTACTCTAGCCTTTTCATATTCTTTTCAGCTCTGTGCTTCGGTTTTAATGCTACAGACAATGCTTTCCAATATTCAACGCCACTACATGTCTCAAAATGTCAGACTTTGGTAGTGTCAAAAACAAATCTCTAGCAGACAGCATGTCACCCCAAGAAAAACCACCTCACATGACCTCATGTGACCGAAGGAAGAGGACACTAACAGACAAAGAAAACTGATGAATAAAAACCAGCAGTGGTCAAAACATCTTTGAAAGAGTCTCCTACTTTCCCTGATATGTGCCAAGGAGTGATGAAAAGAAGAATCTATAAATTAGGAGCAATATAACACTTCCAACCATCCATCCATCCATCCATTATCTATCCACCGCTTAATCCTCAGTAGGGTTGAGGGGGTGGAGGCTGGAGCCTATCCCAGTTTGGGTGATGGAAATTCTATCATCACATTGCGTACACGACGCTGTGCAGATCCATGTACCCTTCACGTTTTTGTGACAGTACGCACTTTCCGCTCAGCTACTACACTATAAGTGCACCCGATTGGCCTATTTTGGTTTGATTTATAGTGTGCTTGTGTGGTGGAACAGACTAGAAAGTAACATAATAACATCAATTGTGCTACTGTGGTGATGTTGTCGATATGTGCATCTGCAAAGGAGATGAACTGGGCCTTAGACAGTGCTGCCCGCCTAATGTCATGCAGCTATATAGAATATTCCATTTATGATCATAAAACACTGAATCATTTCCTATAACCTATAGTAAAACAGTCCGTTTATTGTCATAGAACAATGTCATAATCCTGCTTTTTGTCATAACAAAGTTCCCTGAAATTGATTCCTGGAATAACCTTAGCTCGTTTAAAGTCATGGTCGGCCGATCGTTACGGCTCACGGGCCGAGTGTCGGTCATGCGTGGCAGATTATCACACCCCGGTCAGCCACGGAAGGCAACGTGTTTGTTTGTTTGTCAGTTACCCGCTCACCTGAGATTTGATCACTGAGTTATTCACACATTGTCTGACGTTAATTAGGGCACATCAAAGAAATCTGCACTGCTGCAGAGCATGTTGTCACTCATGACTAAACTGCTCAGTTAATCATGATAAGCTAATCCTCTGTATACCCTCTGATTGAAGGAAATAACTTTTATTGGTGATGCGGCTTTTTGTACCGACAAAGGTGAAATTTCACTGAAGCAAAACCATAAAGCTCTGTGTGAATAAACATTTCTTGATCTTCAAAGAAACTGTCCCTTTGATCTCATGAAAACATTCCCATTTTGGCTTTATGTATAAACCCCCATTTTTCATCACCTAGACACAGTTGTCTCAGAGCTCTAACGTTACGATTGAAGCCCGCTTACTGGAATATCCCGGATATAGTCATAATTCCATTCTGGACCGAGGGTATGATAATAAGCACTGAATTAATATTTGTTCCCTTGTCTGTTCTTAGTGAAATGTTGTTGAACTTTATAGGGTAGTGGCAAATAGAAAGAGAAAAAAACTGTTCTTAAGTCTCCAGAGTGTTGACCAGAAGACATGTGGAAGACTCTGAAGTCAACTAGAAGAAAATTATTTTGTTCTGATGAGACCAAAAATGAGCTTTTGTTCCATCAAACTAGACACTTTCTTTGGCGGACAGTAAACATTGCACATCATAAGAAACACACTATCCCCAACGTGAAGCACGGTGGTGGCAGCATCCTGATGTGGAGATGCTTCTTGGCAACAGACTTTGGAAAGCTTGTAAATATTGGACGACAACCTGATGCAGTCTGCAAGAGAACTGTAACTCAGAGGAAGATTTGTTTTCTGGCAAGACAGTGAGACAATTGTTTAAAGGCAACAAGGAGGATGTTCTGGAGTAGCTGAGTCAGCGCCCTGACCTTGATCCCAAGTGAGAATTTGTAGTTGGACTCAAAAAGAACCATTTACTCATGGTCCCTGCCCAACCTGACAGAGCTTAAGCAGTTTTACAAAGAAGAATAGAATAAAATTGCAGTGTCCAGATGTGGAAGGCTGATTGAGACCTCTCCACACAGACTCAAAGCTGAAATTATACCCAAAGGTACATCCACTAAATACTAATTTGGAGGGACTTTTTAATTAATTTGCATTAAATGGTAAATGGTCTGCACTTATATAGCGCTTTTACCCAAAGCGCTTTACAATGTGTTTCTCATTCACCCATTCACACACACATTCATACCCCAATGGTGGCAGAGCTGCCATGCAAGGTGCTGCCTGCCATTGGGAGCAACTTCAGATTCAGTGTCTTGCCCAAGGACAGTTCGACTGGCGGGGCAGGGGATCGTACCGCCAACCTTGCGATTGGAGGACAACCCGCTCTACCACCTGAGCCACAGCTGCATTACTTTGTATAGATCTGTTTTCACTTTGACATCAAAGTGTTGTTTTTGTAAATCCTTGGCGAAATAAAGCCAAACTAAAATGACCATGATTGAATGGAAAACTTCCAGAGGGTGTGAATTGTTTTTTATTGGCATTGTAAATGAGAAGCACCAACCACTTTTAATCAGGACTGTTTCATTTGCCTCCACACTGAAACTTCTCATGCCATTAGAATAATATGAAAGATGTTATTGCACATAGTGGCTGTAAGTGGGAAATAATTAGAAGTGATCCACATATTGGTCTCTGGCAGTACATCAGGTGTGATGGTTTCTTAATGAGTCTCAAACCTAATTTAAAACCTCCTTCAGTCCTGATGTTCTCATAGACTTTATTGAGCTGTACTACTTTCCCGGCGGCTTGTTTTTCGATGATCAATTACTGATTGTGTTGAACACACACACATTTCAGATTTAATTAATTAAGTATCTTCCATCTTGAATTTATTCTTGGAATGGAATCCAAAGGTGAGGCTTGCCCCATGAGTCAGGCTGATGCTCGCTCACAATCGAATAAACTAGGGATGTCTCCATGGCAACTGTCCAGCTTCATACTGAGAAGCATCCTATGTGATGCGAAATGAGCAAACCGCCTGCCGGTCCATCTGATCTCTGGTGCAGATTCAGAGGTTGAGGATGGGATGATCCAGCACTCATCACAGAGAGAGGGTGAGCTGGGGGTTGGGGTCAGAGGTCCAGCAGTGGCGTGACTGGGATATGGTGCATTATCGAGGCCACATGGCTCTTTTCAGAGAGAGATTAGCGGATATTTTCAATCTACAGTTACTATATGGCATTATATAGAAAAACACACAGTAGCAAATGTAAGGGAGGCTAACAAATGCTGGAGAAAGCAGTGTGTGTCAGCAGCAGTACTCCAGTCAATAAAAACACAGCATGAAAAGGTCTCATTACATAACAGAACAGACTGAATGTGAGACGATAGCTTTCTGGAAATGAGGTTTGGAAAAGTGGTCTTGTATTTGAGGTCTAGCATCGACTCTTTTTTTAAAAATAGAGTTTTCGCTTATTCGACATAACCAAATGGAAAAGCTTTTAACAGAAGAACTGTGAGGACAAATTGCATGTGTGACACTCTGTTAGAAAGGTAACGTCTCCTAGTTTCTGTAAATGCGCTTGTTTCAAACACAACCAAATATGCATTATTTCAAACATGTTTCAACAAGTATTTTTTGTTGTTTTGTAAATTTAAACCATCACTAAGACGTGGTTATTGCCACACGTGTGCAGCACAACACAATTGTTTACATCTTGCAAATCACACCTGGATAAAATTCCACGCCTCCAAGCACAACTACATGGAAACTGAGAACTGTTAAGTTTGTAGTGTCACTAGTGTCGCTGAACCTCTCAAAATGGCTCTAAGTGGCCAAACTGTACTGCTTTTATTCACTCTTGTGATGCTGGATAACAAAGTGAGGTGTTTTAAAGAACATAAAATCTTCCACTATCATTCAAATAGTGCCTCTCTTGCTGCTGATTCTGCTGCCGGCGTTTAGCTGCATGAAAGCAGAGACTTACGGTAGCCTTGTACACATTGGATGCCTTCCAGTATCCATACTACCATGTCATATAGTATGCCAGAGAAAGATTTAGTTTGTGCGAGCATGCAAGCCAGCGTGCTGTTCTGGCCACTCTGACCCACAGTCATTTGCCAGTTACATCACAGCGTCTCACACGAGTGAAAAACAACTTGAGCGGCGGCGAATGCACAGACAGACGACAGCTCATTTTGCATAACAGACTGTGGAGGATATATGACGGAGGCACAATGTTATGACCAAGTAGTGTGACAAAATTGTATGAAAACAATCGTTGTAAGAACAGCTCGTGGACACACTTATAAAAGCATGTGATTTCAAGCTCGCCTCAAATGCAACCAAGCTACCATGCATACTACCACTGGAAAGGAAACATGATTGGCTACAGCTCTGATCTGTCTACTGTCTACTATTACTGTAAGCTACGTTTATTTTATGCTATTTTCATGTTTCACTTCTATGTGAGAAATGGCTTAAGTGATGAGTATAACAGTCATCTTGTCTGTGAAGATTCTCAGTCATCCAGGTCATGGTTATTCTCGTAGATTAATCGTAGCAACTGGACTTGCTTGAGTTTCTTGAACAAACCCCCAGTCGAAACCGAAACTCAGGTGTTCATGGCTCCTTAAGGATTTAAGTATCTGGAACTCCCAACTAGTCAGTCAGAACTGATGAATCCTCTCGGACGTCTTCAAGGAACTCTAACAAGTCCAGTTGCTGCGATTAAACAATGAGAATATACCAGTGGTCATTGTATATTCGGGTCGTTACTGTATTTCAGAAAAGATTTCCACATGTTATATTTTTATAATTTTTATGCTCTTGAAGAGTGTCACAAACAGATTATTCTTCATTAGTAATTATGCTAATATCAGACTCTATGGAGACTGATTGGAGACTCATGGTAGTAGTGTTGTTGGATTCTTTCTCAAAGTACAGAAACATTAATACGTTTTTCATGCCAGTAGATGTTATGACCAGCAGTCAGTAATATACATAAATAGAATATGACCTGTACTTGATCAGAGGCTTTTGTTCACTACAAGAGTCTGAAACATTTTTTTTTAGCTCCAGTACAGTGGCGTAAAGCATTTCAAACAGCGCTTTCAGCAACACATCAGTGTCTTTTGATATGCAATGAGTGTTCACTTCAGTTCCATACTGGTTTGAATATTAGGTTACCAATATTGCCAAATCATATTTAAAAAAATTTGTGATGTGCCATCCTGTCTGTAAAAAAAATTAAGTGTAAAACTGCGATATTTCTTCAAAATTATTTCATCCTTTCCTCTCACAAGATTTTTTTTGGGAAAAAAACAAATTCTGCACAAACAGGAACCCATTAATGACTTGGCTGAACTGCAGGCTGCGTTCCGAATGTTGGTAACGCCTGTGGGCACTGATGTTATGCATGTTGATTCCATTTTTTTTTTTTTTTTTTTAGTTTTTTTTTTGGCTTTTGGGCCTTTGTTTGACAGTGCAGTGAGAGAGAGACAGGAAAGTGGGGGAGAAGAATGGGGGGGAGAACAGTATGGGAAAGTGCCATGAGCGGGATTCGAACCCATGACCTCCACATGGGGACTGTAGCCCTGTACATGGGACGGCAGCTCAACCAGGTGAGCTACAGCGGTGCCCCGATTCCAGCTTTTTTCAATTTTTGGATAAATAAATAGTCAAAGAAATTCTACTTTTTGTATTTTCTTTGTTTTATGATTTATGGCAGTATAAAGACATTTTTGGATTCTCTCTACCTCTAGTCATGGTTGTGATGTTTACGTTTACTTATATATTGAAGTGAAAAGTGAGCCCACAGTGAGTAACAATGTGATGAGATCAGAAAGGGCCCAGAAATCGCTTGGGGTTGAGGTTAAAAGATTGTTTGGGATGCTTGATATGGTGCAGTACCTTTCCGGTAACTGTTGGCTCTGATGTGTCTGACTCAAGCCGTGATACAGTCAATAAAAAAATAAATGTATATATAGGTATATATTTCAGATGCTCCTATAACTACCAAAATAATAAATCATTAGCCTCATAGCATACTTGCCTAAGTCATATTTTCATGTTTTTGGGAAATGAGAAAAAACACAATTTTTAGAAATGACATTGGTATTTTTTTTTTTTTTTTTTAACAGTACATTCAACCAGATGTGATTGGCCAATGACATAGGTAGAAAGACAGGATGATGGAGAAGTGATAGGAGAGTAAAGTTAGGCAAATATCTCAATTTGACCAAAAAATGACTTAGGCAATGATGCTATGAGGCTAACGAAATTTGAATTGTTGACACTAAACAACATCCGATCCCTCTTGAGCCTCTAATTCCTCACTGTGCACATGGGGCAAACATTTTGAAATTGGTGCCTCAACTATCCCGTCATGTGTTTCTGCTATTCAGTATAAAGGATTCCTCGTTGTTGATATCATTGCTTTAAAATCCTGATGATATCTTTATCATGTTAATGAGCTTATAAGCACAGATGGCATACAGCACGGCCCACTGACCTGATGGTGATGATCTGGCCAAAGTCCAGCTCATAATTATTTACTTGTGCGATGAATATCGCCGCCACAGCCTCATACAGAGCGGTGCCGTCCATGTTGATGGTGGCGCCCACGGGGAGCACGAAACGGATGATGCGGCGGTCGATGTGGTTGTTCTCTAAAAGGCACTTGAAAGTTATAGGCAAAGTGGCAGAGCTGAGGAAGACAGAGAACAAGGCAGAGTTGTCAGATAGAACAACAGTTACATAACAAGCTCCTAATTTCTCCCCGGCATGCGTGTAAACAAGTGGAATCTGTTTATGATCTGTTTTTGTGAAAGAAACTGCTGAACGAGAACAAAAGGTAATAATGTTTTACAAGGTATTCAGCATGCAGCAGATGTTTTTTTTTACTGATTTGAGTAAACACATGCATTATTGATGAAGCTGTAGCAGCCACTAAATGTCACATCGAAGAGCAGTGATTGGCAGCAGTGTTACATCACCGTCTGTCTTTTACAGTTTCAAGAACAAGGATTGATTTCACATGTAGAAAATGTGAATTTTAATGGACCATGCCAGTGTTTCTGTGTGTTTTAATCAATTTATGCATCGCTAAGGCGCGTTTTCCAAAGCACACTGCTGTGTTTTTTCAGTTTGTCGCTTTCCCTGCTTCCAGGCAGCAACTTGTTTTCATTCATTTCCATGTGGTCTGAAAATGAAACCAGTTCCAAATCTACCACAGTAAACACAACGTCTGCTAATGTAGCAGGCCTGAAACCATGCAAAAACACTGACACGATCATTTCCATTCGAAGCACAGTCTGTTCATATGATACTATGCTATAATCTATCTGCTTGCACACATGTAGACCAAGTGGAAGAGGTGCCGGTTGAAACAAACGCTCCTTTACATTCCCATCTCTTCCCACACACGCCAGATGTTTTCTGATCTCCCAACATCCCTTTGAGGCTTTTCATGCTAATGTTGTAGTAAAAGAAAAAAACAAAATATGTGGGTAGCACTCAAGGATGCCTAACTGTGATCCACAAATGAGAAACCTATTGATCTTTTCTTTTTTTTATTTATTTTTATAACACATCAATATCAACAAAACTGTGACTGTTTACTCGATAGTGACTTTCTTTACCTGGAGGAGGTTGCCAGGGCGATGAGGAGGGCTTGCAAGATTCCCCGTATGTAAACGATGGGGCTCTTTTTGGTGATGAAGAAGTACATGGCAGGCAGGATGAACAAGCCGTGCAACACCAGACCGAACACCACGGTGACGGCATAGAAACCGAGCTTCTTCCCCATGGCCGAGGGGTCGCTCATCTCCAGAATCTTACCGGCCACCAGAAAAACGATGCCGAATGGAAAGTACCTGGCAGGATGAGGACAGTCAGAGCTCAGAGTCAGCCGAGGTGGCTGTCAGATAAAGTCTTTGTGAGTTGTGTACACTAGAACGGATGCACTTGAACCCTTAAAGACACTACGTTTTGAAAGTATAGCAATTTATTCTTGACATATTGTAAAATGTGCTCGTACATATGACCAACACCACAGTCATCTGATATTATAATACATTGCATGTCATTATCAGGAGAATTTAAAGCAAACTCATCAAGTATTGCACACAAAAAAGAAGCAAATAAACTAGTCTGTGTAGTTTGGTGCAAAGTTGGCAGCAACAGGCTGTGTGATGCCCAACTGTAATAAACAGAGTAGAAAAAGTCGAGGAAGAAAAATTGAGTTTTCAGGAACCTTTGAATTGGGAAAGTAGTAATAATTCTTGAATGTCAGCAGGTATCATCCATAGTTCATGCTAAGATCAAGACAACAACAGACATGGAAACAGCTGATCAGGCAAAATAGGTAACAACCTCAAGTGAGCATAAAAACAAATTAAAAAAAACATGGCGAGTTGAGGCAGGTACAGGCAGGCTACTGGAATCTAACTGTTGTTGAACGTATATACACATGTGTTTTTCTTGAATTTTGCCATTTCCGTGAACCTCTTCTGTCTTTCTGTGTTATGGGAACATGATCCCCACTCTCACCCCAAACGGTAACGGCAGGCGACCACTTTTCCTGTGCCTGGTTCTGTCTGAGGCTTTTTCTCCTCGTTAAATGTTTTTGTTGTTGTTTTGTTCCTTCCACTGTCGCCGACTGCTTGCTCAAAGTAAATCCAAAGGGAACTTTGGATTGTTGGGTTCTCAGTTCAAAATGTATCTTCACATTACTGTGTTAAATGCTATAGGATGACTTATGTTGTGAATTGGCGCTATATAAATAAAACTGAACTGAACTTGTGTCTGCAGACTGAGATATGCATGTGCATTCTGAATTTCATACTGAATTTCCCTTCTGGGATGAATAAAGTATTTTTTCATTCATATCTGCATGTACATTCAGTTTTCTTACATGCCAACATCCTTTGTATCCAGAATGACGAGGCCTCTGTGCTCTTAACTTGTACAGCAGGTTGTTTTCAAAAACTCCAATACGTGAATATTTAGAATACAAGCTAGGTTACAGTCGAATACTGACTTAAGAGTATCTGAGTCACAGCCATGAGATAGCTGGCAGAATTCTCTAAATGCCATGGCATATGAGCCTCAATGTTTCCTTTCCTACCTCCCGTACCATAGCACACACTGGTACATCCTGAATGGAAGAAATCTTGAACTTTTTGAGAGGGCTTCTGTGCTCTAGGACAAAGATGTAATCTCTCACTGTCTGCATAGCTAACTTAATGTAGCCTAGGTTAGTTATATTTATGTTATTAGACATTTCTCTCTGCAGTTATATGTGTCACAATGGCTAGCCAAAAAGATGAAAGGTGCCTCAGAGTGTGGCATGCAGTAAAACGTTGTGGAAATGCAATGATGATTTTACCTTTACATGACCATTTTTACTTGCAAACTGGGTGAAAGTTCCTTTTTTTATGATATAATTTTCTATATAATCTACAATCACACTGTGGCCGTGAGCTGCATATACATTATGTATTACTTGTGACAGTCACAATCCTTTTACAGCATCCTCAAGTAAGAAAGTGTGAAAGAAATGATTACCATATAACAATGGCAACAATTCTTAGGACAGCCTCATTCAGACTCTGGCAGAAGTTCACCAAGGCGCTGCCATTTGGCCCCATCCTTCCCAACATAATACCTGTGAAGTGAAACAAATGGGTTCACCTTCGAAATGAAGCAGTTTAACAATAAAAGCTATTTTAGTTACAAAAATACATTCAACATTTGAGCCCATAAGTGGCCCATAAGAATGAATAGGAGAATAAAGCCTGTTGATACCCATAGTGGCTGAGAAAATAACAATCCCGAGGACGTTCATTCCATCACTTGTTCCTTCTCGAGTGCGAATGAGCACATCTGGAGGTGGCGTCAGGTCGAGAGCAAAGTTCTGGATGTCAGTCCCGTTATCGTCCTGGATGCCGTAGATGAGTGCTCGCCGCGTGGTGGACTCTGACTGACTCACCGTTGGCTTGGCTTTCACGATGTACTCGCTGTTCGTTCGATACTGTTTTCAGGGAAATAGAATGAGACGCACAGTGAGACCTGTCATTTAAATTCTGTGAAAAAACAAAGCCTTTGTCACTGATAATACCATTTGCAATATCAAACATCTTACCTGCTGAAATGTGGCCTGTACCAGATTAGATGGGAACATGTTGCTATAAGGCAAACACACACACAAACTTGGATTAAAACATGCCGTTGGTCTTTAAAGGGCTGAACTGTAAGACAGCAAGCCAACAATTACATGTTTTATATACTGAACAAAAACATAATAATGTTTCATTAAACTTTATCCATTTTTTTTAACGGTGTGGGAAAAGCATTTATTGGTCCAACATGCGGCAGCTCTACAACTGAGTGGACATCATGAAACAGCTGAATACATCTACATTGGAAATCATAACGGACAGGTGGACAGTTGGGTCATAGACCCCAAATCACAAATAACAAGTTATACATCTATGACAAAGGTTGTTGATGTTGGCTCGCAGAATGTGGCTCTTTCCACTATTCCTGATGGGCTTGGTGAAGTTGGTGGACATTTTGGGGGACGGGATCTATCCAGGGCATCACACGTTCTGGAGACGTGAGGATTGGCGTTGTCTTGTTTAGATGTCAGGTGATGGTGTGACAATCTCCGTATTGTTGGGCATTGAGATTGTCACTGATGAAAAGAGATGTATCCATGACATGTCCCTGCCCATACCGTTGCTGCTGTCTGTACGATGTTGATATCCGTATAGCGTTCCTCTGGACCACACCGAGTGCAGCATCTTCCATCTGCTCTATACAGCTGAAAATGAGATCCTTGAGGTAAAAGGGACCGCCTTCTCTCTTAGCTAGCATCTGATGAACTTGAGTGGTTGGAGCCGATCAGGACGCTGTTCTGTCATTAGATCAAGTCTTTGGTTTCGCAGCCAAGATCTCAAACCAGCATCCATCAGACGCTGATTCCTAACAGTTTGAGATATTCTCAGGTTGTGAACACCAACAACTTCCTCAGCAGTCTCTGTGGCTTATTGCAAACCATTCCGCAGATGGTCGAGTTGGATGTGGTGGTGGTGACACATGGTCTGCAGTCATGTGGGAGATAAGCTGTTGTGTAATGCTCTCTTAAACTTTTTTTCTTTTACACTACAAATGGTGAAGTAATGGACTTTTTCTGGCTACAGTCCTGACTGACATGCCAGCATCCTGTTCTCGTCTTTCTTTTGGCGTCTGTGGCATCGTGTCATTTAAATAAAGCTGCATTTTAAGCTGGCATTTTATAGATACTGGTCAAACGAGTGCCTGTGTGCTGATCACACTATCTGATCATTGCCCTTTAAAGCCACAAGGTGTGGTACAACTCAATGGTCAGGAATCTGTCATTGGTTGAATAGTTCAAACTTGTTGTGATTAATTGGCTGAACTGAATCCTTTCCAAACCAGGACAGTAGAAGTTAGACTTGAAACTTTTTCTCTAAGGCAGACGGGAAGACGATTTGCTTTCTGTGTTTATATCTTTGCACAGTGTACTTCTGGGGGGTAAAAGATCTCGACCCCAGTTGGCCTCCTGTCAGCTGAGTGTGTTGATATCTGGATACTGGGATTTGTCTCCCACGTTTATCTTCCATCAGATGCTGAGAACTCATCTGTTTTAGAGCTTCATGCTTTGGTGTAAACAAAGTGAGTCATAGTCAGCAGGTTCCAGTGATAACATTTCAGTGATTTAAGCAAGTAAACATGTGCAGGGTGGAAGGCTACAACAGGCAACAGTGAAAGTCTATCAAAGAACGGAGGTGGCAGGAGACATAATTATTCACATTTATACAAAAACAAACAATAAAAGCAAGCATATCATACTCTGGCGGCAGGATGAAAACTCCCCTTTTCTTGTACGCTCCACTGACATGCACCTTCCTGTCTAAACAAACGGAATCACGCTTAAAAAATTATTCCTTGCTGGTTTGCTTGACTGCAGCTGCTGAAGTTGTGCAATAAAGAAATAGGAGCTTCCCCTCACATCATTTTCATAGTTAGTTAGAATAATATTGCTGCTTTATTTTCAGTGACATTTGGTTTATTTTACTGTGACCAAAACCTCACCCTAACTTTATCCACATGATGGTCGTTGGCCAACCTAAACTTTTATCCCACACAACTATGGGGTTGCTTTCCAAAAAGTCATTTTAAATACACATCTTTTATTTTGTTTTCAACAGACGCCGAGCTGTTTGGAGAGACTGGATGCATAAAATATGATAGGTCAGACCAGGTCTCACACTAACGTCACCAATTTATCTCTACTCCCAACTTAAAATCTCTAACGACACAAGTTACCAACCTAAAACCTAACTGCACATAGAGACGTGATAATTCAAACGGACATGTGTCATATGGATTAATCACTGGAACACTATGGGGATTAATCTTAGTCCTCGACTAAAAACTTCAGTGGACATCTTCTTTGAATTTCTCTTTAGTCTCCAACAAGACTTAATACATGTCTGTATAAATTTTAACTTAAAGGTCCCATTTACTGACAGGCCCCTTTTTTTTTCAATTGTTTTGTATATTTTTGAAATAAACAGAAGACTACAAAGAAAATGAAGACGCTTACTATTTTCGTTTCTCCAGCCAATCAGAATGAGCAGCTCCCTCTCAGTCCGCCAGGTTTATCTTTTTGTGAAACTGCTTCTGCTAGCTCTAACGTATCTCACTCTCGAGCAAAGCAAAACAAATGTTCTGCTTTTGGTTGCAAGAGTGAACACAAGAGTCTTTATGCACTCCCAGCATCGGAGCAACTGAAGATCCAGGAAACTACTTTTTTTTTTGATGGCAGTGTCACCACAACAATAGAATAGCGTGTTAGCGCATTGCTGATGTGGCTAACATTACCGTTAGCTTTAATCATCTAAACGTAACCGAGTAGTTTGGTGTGTAAACTGAAATGTCCATATTGTCCACAATAACGTCGCACATGTTCCCTGTCTTCCAGTTTTTAGCTCAAAATACCACTAGAATGGTTGTTTTCACTGTGACTGCGTGACTAGGATTTAAAATGCCAAACTCATTAATTTAGCTGAACTGTTTCACCTTCTGACTCATTTTGATTCGACACCATGTTGCTGTTAGAGCTTATAGTGACTTCAGTCCTAAGATCACCTGCTGATCTATTCAGCCTGGACTGGACTCAGCCTCTAAATGCTTGGATTGGATGAACAAACAAGCACTTGCAGAGGCACAGTGCATGACCAGTGACCGCTAACAATCCTGTTTACTGTGTGTGAGAAACTGAGGAACGAGGATTAAATGTTTTTAGTCAACAATGAAGTCATCCCAGTGAACGGGAACTGAGGAGCTTAAGACAACAAATGTTTTTAATCCTGTCTCAGGATTTGTGACAAATCCAAACAGTCTGAAAAAGTAGGGTGCAGTGAGGAAGAAGTCTGCTCCACAAAGGTGCCATCACTCACTCACTTACTGACTGTCACATTCATGTCTATGCCTGTATTATCTTTGAAAATAAGTAAAATCAAGTCCAATAAAATCAACCCTACAAACGGACCATTCATTTAATAGTAAGTGTGGACAAAACATGTTTTCATCTGCAAAATAAACCAGGCTGCTATTATGCATCTCGTGTAACAGCTGCTCCACTGTTTGGTCCAACTTTTCTAAACAATTATCCAAGAAGCCGTCATGCACAAACCAGAAAATGATCATGACAGCTCCTTTTTATATTCATTCTTATCAAGCTCTGTGTAAGTGCTGAACAGTGAGAACACTGTGGAGCTCACAGACAAATGTCTTTGTCTCTATGTCAGGAGCAAACAATATAAATGACATTGAGTTAACAGAAAAATATACAAAACGCTGTTTTGTGCAAAACATTCTGAGACACACCACTGCTGTTGTGGCTCTGTAGAGGTTTGGTTTCGTGTTTCCTCACATCGACAGCTGCTGTTTGTATTTCTTTCCATCTTTTTATTGACAGCACACCACAAATGTACGAATGATGGCACGGCTTCAGAAGAACATCCTGATGAATTTTATTTTAAATTAAACAGCCAAAATATTGTATGTTGATAATCCATTTCCAACATCATTAACTGGTGTTTACATCTCTGCTGTTTGAAGGAATAAGCTCCAGCTGCTGCTTCAGTCCTGGTTGTACCGCTCACATCTCATCAGGTCCAAATAATTAAGAGAAGCCTCATGAAGCTAAGTTTACCTTCCAGGATAACCAATACTGAGCCTGTGAAAACCGCATATGCTTAGAGACTGCAGGGTTTTATGAGGATACAGAGGAGACAGGGAATGTGGAAGACATAGGCTAGGGGCAAAAACACAGGTGGCCACAACTACTGTGGACTGACTTCTGCCAACCCCACACAACCAATATTTTGTGGAACCATTAATCTGCAGCCATTGTTCCCATATTGATGCAATCTATTCAACAACATACAATTAAATAGTCTTGACCGACCAGAAAACTTCACCAAGTCCATTTTAAATTTCATGTTATTGTCACTGAAATGTGTACTGACAGTTTAACAAAGCATCTGGACGTGTTTTTCTGAGCTACAGCGTAGGATTTAGGTGTAGCTTTAAAGTTAGCTGACGATTTTATGCAGACTCTTAAAGACTGTAGGAATGAAACCTACTCTGAAGAACTCTGGAAACAAACTGCAAGACTGACCAAGAATCTGCAGCCAAAAGAAAGAAACAAAAGGCTGGATGGTTCCTAAAGTTTCCAGAAGTAGAATGGGAGGCAGAGCCTTCAGTTATCAGCTCCTCTGTTGTGGAATCAGCTCCCAGTTTGGGTTCAGACACCATATCCACTTTTAAGATTAGGCTAAAAACATTCCTCTTTGATAAAGCTGATAGTCAGGGCTGCTCAGGATCACCTGAACCTTTCCTTAGTTATGCTGCTATAGGTTTGGACTGCTCCCATGATGCACTGCGCTCATCTCCCCTTCTCTCTTTTCCATACAGTTATATACCACCCACATGTCACTAGCTTTGTGCCTTCCCCGAAGTTCTTTATTTGTTGTCTCTGCAGTTGCCTCTGGATCTGGACACATCTCTGACTGCAGCCTCTGGCCTCACCGACCTCCAGAACGGTCATTGTTTTCAAAGTGAATCCAAAAGAACTTTAGATTGTTGGTTTCACCGTACTCTGTCAAGTGCTACGAGACACATGTTGTGAATTGGCGCTTTATAAATAACACTGAATTGAAAAACACAGTGTGATGTCTGAGCTAGGTGAGTGTTCTGAGTAGTGTTTTGTGCATGTCTTATATAATCTGACAAAGAATTTAAAGCATAACTTTAGTAACCATTACAGATTTTTAATCAGCTAAGATTTACATACTGAAAAGCTTATGTGTATAAGTTTTCATGAACTTCTACAGCAGATGATAAGAGTGAGTGGATTGGACGGAGTTACAGAATTATGGGAAGTGCAGGATGCAGATTTTTTGGCTCTTGACTGTGGATGATTTAAGGAGAACTGGGTGATCGTGATGTGAATAAAAAGAAGAGAATAAATATGACTGCATATGTGCAGAAGCAAACCCAAAAACTAGAAAGCCTCTGCCAGGTGAGGAAGAAGAAGAGAACGAAAAAGAAAAGGAAAATCGACATAGAAATAAAGAATAACACATGCTGTTTATTTATATGTGTTCGCTATATACATGCAAACCAATCTCCTTATAGCTCATCCTTTTGCACCCATCCAGCTTTATTTCCCCTTTAAAACCTGGCAACACAAATTCACCTGGAATTCAGACATAATCTGGCTCATTGCTGCTTGTTCTCTGCTAATCGTCCTATTCCTGATGTGAATAAATCACACATCGCCTAACAACGTCTGCCCCGCTGTCACTAATTACAGGAACAGAGACACTTGACGTGATCGATGCAGATACTCTTGTTTGCTGCTTATTGCCACCAAATGAGTGACATTTGTTTTAAATACAGGCAGGTTACAAGTTCTTTCATACACTGAAATAGATGCTCTAATCTTACCGGATCAGGTCCAGCAGAGCATCAGCAGAACTCATGATGGGCTTGCCGCTGTCCTCAGAGTCTTCTTTCTGTGCAGCACCGCCCGGGTGGATGATGGAGACCATGATGATCCCAACAATCACAGCCACGAAGGTGGTCCACAGGTAATAAGACACAGTGATCAGACCGAGCCGACTGGAACACTTTGCATCAAGGGCTGCCAGTCCTGACATCAAACTGAGGAAGGAAGTTACATGAGTTAGTGTTTGGCAGTTTGTTTTCATAATGCAGTCACTGTACTGTATTATGGTCAACAGGTTAAGCTTTGCAGCGTGGAGGCCCCTGTTCCAAAGGCCTGTACTGTGAAGCAAGTTTGATATCGAATACAGAATTTATTTATGTACGCTAATTTGACAAAACCTAAAACTCCATTAGGAGATAATGTATATCACAGCAGTGGTTATCTGCTTCATTTGTTAACCAGGTTTCTTCCTCAGGCTGTATATTCACTCCCTTTAAAAGGAACATTTGTCATGTCGTTTGTCTTTTCACACAAAATGGACCCACGGCGTGTTGCAAAAGTTAGTCTGAGGAACAGGTTGTTATAATGGAGACCTGTGAAGGACCGAAAGAAAGAGCACAGTTACTGCAAATGCTGCAAGAGAGGAAAGCTGGTAGAAAACCATTAGTCATGGAAGGTACCACTCAGTGACTCTCAGTGCAGTTCCTTATTTCTAACTTGACAGCTGTAGATTACAGCTCTTACACCTTCCCTTCTGGGATAAATAAAGTATTTTTCATTTCATTTCATTAAACTACACAGTACTCAGAAAGTGCGTGTAGATCAGATACTGTCACAGAGTGAAGGAAATGTGTGCCTTTATTTCATAGAGCAGTAGACAGGGAGACTGGAAAGTGGGGGAGAAGAATGGGGGAAGGACCTGCGGAAAAGGGCCATGAGCGGGACTCGAACTCATGACCTCCGCATTGGGGACTGTAGCCCCGTACATGGGACGCCAGCTCAACCAGGTGAGCTATAGCGGCGCCACAACCACTTTAGTTTTTGACAAAATCAAAGAGAAAATGTTGCTATCGATCAAATATTTCCTGAAAAAATACCAGTCATAATCACATTTCTAATCTGTGTTCCATTTGCTGCAACATGGACTTGGCAGCAGATCTGGACCAAACATAAATTCCTATTTTACACAGTGGTAGGTTCCCATGGCAACACGACACATCCAGCTTGAATACCGTAAATGCACTTAAAGGCCTTCTGCAGTGGGATCAGTCACGTAAAGCTCAACAGGTTTGCAGCTAAAATATATTTCTTAAATGAGTATCTGTATCACTCAGGGACAAGATGTCAGAAAAAGAATGAGTGCCAACAAGATGCTTCTCACAGCCAGTTTAAATGAAACTCCTAACATAACCTCCACCAGAGCAGGTCAGCTGTGCAGCATCAGTTACCATGGTGATCGCTGGTTAAAAGAGAGCCAACTTCAGGTTTTTGGAAACTCTGACTTTAGACTCAACATACCTCGCTAATCGTTTAATCTCATTCTGTAGTAGAGACTGTATTTGGTATTAAAAGGCAACTTGACTCCATTCTTTTTAAAGGTTAATGAGTGACTCTCATTGACTGAAGAGGCTGCCTGCTACTATTAATAATAAAATGGTTGCAGCTTTTTTTAAGATTTATTTTTTGTTGCATTAACTTTGGAGTATTTTAGAACAGGTTAAAAAAAAAATCAGTCTCATTGACTCATTGGTAAAAGACTATAATTTAATTGAAAATTTACAATTCCGATCAGGTGAAAGTACAAATGTCAGTTTTTTGCTGCCGTTTTTTAAAAATCTCACTGTGGTGATGGAGTCACAGTGATTTACTGTGTTTCAAAAGCCTTTCAAAAGTGGTCCAAAAGCAATGAGGTTGTTCATTTTGGACTCGCAGTTTTGGAGCTTTAATGTTTTTCAGAAAGAAATTTAAACAAAACACCCTTCTTCACTAATTTCTAAGCCCTACTATATTTCCCACATTCTCTGTGCTGCTGCTTGGATCTTGCCATCACATTTAGAAAGAGTTGTTTGAGCACGACTGCGTATATGCTTGTATGCTTCAGTTTATCTGAGAAGTTCTTGCATCATCAAACATAAAAATTAGACAGTACGGTGGAACTAGCTGGCTCACAGACTCACTAATCCATGTTATAAAGGTGCAGAATTCCCCATAAGGGAGCTGGTCTTTATTTATTCAGAACCCCCCTTTTCAAGTTACGACAAGCACAACGTTGGATTTAAGTCACATACTGGCTATAATGAATAATACTTGAAGATGTATAATATATATTCAGCAAGAGGTGCTTTTAGCATAATATTTGCATTTAATTTCAGCATTTGATCGGATACCATTCTGCTCTTTCTTTGTTGCATTTGTCAGGGGTGTGGAATTCCATTCCCTTTGGTTAGAAGAATTTAAACTTCATAAACCCCAAAATCTGCCAGCGGAAGACAAGTCAACTTTGAAATTACATATTTTATCAGAGCCAGAAATGGTGAAAACAGAAAGGAGGGTTGGATTTTCAGTTTTCTAACAGTGCTTAAGTTATTCGTCTGTGACATACCGGTCCGCTTGAAATCGTGATATTTAATTATCCATCCATCCATATAAAGAGATAAAAACTATCCAGCTGACTCAGGGTGAAGGCAGGAGACACCCTGGACAGGTCACCAGTCTATCACAGGGCTACACTTAGAGACAGACAACCAAGCACACTCACATTCACACCTACGGACAATTTAGAATCACCAATTAACCTCAACATGTTTTTGGACTTGTGGGAGGAAGCTGGAAAACCCGCGCTGCATTGAGAGAACATGCAAACTCCATGCAGAAAGATCCCAGGTGTCCTCACCAGGAAGCGAGACCTTCTTGCTGCGAGGCAACGGTGCTAACCACCGCGTCACCCTGCAGCCCAACAGTTGAAAACGTTGATTCCATTTTTATCTCTTTTGTAAAATATGTGATTAAAGAAATGTAGCTTTTGTTTCCTGTCTTTCTATAATAAAGACATTATTACCTTGTTATACTTAATAAATGCTGTTTCCATAGAGGTGCAGAACTTTATATTCCAGTGAGATGTGAGCTCACAGTGAGAAGGAATATGTCGCTGATGCCTAGAAACTGCTCAGGGTTCAAAGAGTTAAATCACACGCTAGTCATTATATATAATCATGGTTCATGTATGTATAATATGTATGCAGCAGGTGGTACTTTTAACACATCATTTACATCTAATTTAAACATTTGACAGGATATCACGCTGCTCGTTTTTTTTTGCTGCATTTATCAAAAGTGCACCAGTCACTATGGAATTCCCTTTATTGTGTGTATTCTGTAATGGTTCAGGGGCTTTAATGTCAGGTGTAGCAATCACAGGTTATCAGTGCAATGACATTCTGAGTTCATTGTGTCTCCACCTGGTGCTGTGATTAACCTATCTATAGAATACATTCCATCAAAAACAGTCATCCGTGCATCACTAATACATACTGAGGTAGACAATATAGAGCAGATGTGATCAGTACAAAACCGTATATAAAGAAAAGCAGCGTAACAAAAGCATGTGCAGCGTTTATGGTGCAAAGGGTCATCATGTGGGAAAATTTACAATAATGTATGATTAAGTCCTTTGATTAACGATGCAGAGAGGGGAAGAGGGGGCGGAGACGTGGCTTGGAAATATTCAACGGTCTCGTGGGCTGAGGGGAAAAACCTTGAATTTCAGAATCCTGATGCGTGAAGAGATGCTGTCAGATCTTCGGTAGGATATTAGTCTGCTCTGTTTTTGTTGCATTTATTAGGAGTGCACTGTGGAACCACATCCTTGTATTTGTTCCCAACATTCTCTCATTTTCCTGTAACAGAATAGCAACTGAGTTAGAGGTCAGTTTACAAAAAAGGGTTTTAATGGCTGACGAGGGGTAAATGTTTGTGATGAAATTTGGGGATTCTTGAAGTCTTTATCTGCTGTTGAGCAATGTTTTTTTGTGTTGTGGACAGATTTGTGTGAAATCTACACCACTTCTAGATGATTTTCTTGACAGTGGAATCATTTATTTTAAATACTTTGGGGATATTTTTAATCTCCATGCTTTCCCATCAACATATGCCTTTTTTCCCCACTGAAATATTTAGGAAGCTCTTTCAATAGCAAAGACAAATGCAGATCCAGGTTCCAGGTGAGGTTCTAATCACTGGTGGTCTATCTGGACCCCCAGTTTTTATTTATATGAAGGTGTCATTAACATAGGGGTGGAGTTTGTTTTGCCATGTCGCCGATTTTTAAGTTATTTTAGTTAAGAACATGAAAACACAATGTTGTGTGTCAGTTATCAGAAGTGAGTCGTCTTTATATGTTTAACAAGCTGACAATTTCTATATATACACACAAACTGTACATACACATGGACCGGTATAGATGAACAGCATTTAATCACATCCAAGCTGGCATCACATCAGGGTCAGTGGTGTTAGTTGGATTTGTCCTGTGAATGTAAAGATCAATTCTTAATCCCCTGCTGTTTTCATTCAAGGACAGAATGACAACACACACACACACACACACACACACACACACACAGCTAAAGACAGATTAAGCCATATATCAAAATCAGACTGTAAACAATATGATTAATAACAGCGACAACAGCGAGATGAATCAGACAGGAAAAAAAATACGCTTTTGTAGTTTAGGTTATTCTTTTTAATTGAAACGATCATTTATAGGTGTCACAAATTTTAATTGATGAATACTTCTTAGTGCACACTGATGTATTTTATGTTTATACACTCTAATCTTGCATACAGCCGCCGTAACTTCTCAAAGAGCGGAAGCTACAAAACACCAACAGTAATCTCTAATCGCAGGCACATGCTGATTTATTGCTTCGTTATTACGTTGCGCCGCAGTAAGACTGTTCTGCGGCTGGTTGGACAGTTGAGGCATCTCCAGCTTACACGCTGCAAAACGTCCTGTCAAATTTAAAGTCCAACCTTTAACATGTAAACCTTCCTATTAATAAAACAAGCAAATTTTACAAGTGAATCTTACGTGATAAGATCAAAAAGATCCATTTCAACTAATGTCGGTAGGCCTTGTTAATGCATGTCCCGGGTATCAAGACACCTCAAAGACCAAGTTGCTCATCAAGCCAAGGTAAGAAACCTTTGCTTGAATTAAGTCGAAGGATCTTTGTTGAAAAGCTCTGGATAATCTGTTTATGCTACAAAGAAGACCAACCATATTTTGAATATGAATTTAGACTTCTAGGTCATCCATCAGTTTTTGTAAGTCAGGACCCTAAAACTACCTGTTGATTTAAAGCAGCAGGGTCGAGCAGCTGAAGAAACTATAAGAGACTCCCTGAGCGGCCCAAACTTCTCTTGGGATACTAATTGGACATGTTTTGACCAATGAGCCATTCAGAGCTCCCATCGTCTGATATGTACGCCACATGTCGTTTTCAGGTTCTCCTTTTCAATGATGTAAATCACGAATGGCACAAAGAGCAGTTCCTATCTTTCTTTACAGAACTTTTAAACCCTACAAAATCAGACAATCCTGCTTGTAGCTAAATTTGTGACCTGATTTTGTGACAGTAAATAGTGGTGTGACATTGTGGACATAGTGCCAACATCGAATGTGTCCCTGACAGAAACTAGACACTCACATTTCCCTCCCTGCACGGATCATTCTGTTCTTGAAAGCTGCTTTCCCCATCAACTATGGCCAGTGAGAGCCAGTAGCTGTTTCCAGATAACTGAAGCAAACTTTTAAAAAGTGCAATAAAAAGGGAAAATGGTTGTGTAGTGCTGTCAGAAGGTGGCGCTATAGGCTACATTACACACTGTAAAAGGAAGATGGAAACAAAACGAGTTGTTTGCTAAAAGAAAACTTTCAAGTCAAGGACGAGATAACATTTTGACCATCTATGAGGGAAATTTGTAAATACAGTCATGACTCGATTAGGCAACCCTAAATGTCAAATCTTTTTTATGTTGGATAGCAAGGCTGTCGGATTGTCAAGACGGAGGTCAAGATACAAGGAGGGCTTGATGCTTAAGGAGTAATTTGTTGTTAATGTTTACTGTTTATAATTGTTATAATAATTAGTGTATTGCTAGAACACTACGCATCACTGGATTTCACGCCGAATTGTGCATGTTCCGGCCAATTCCACCCCGCCGGAGCGCACCCCCGGGGTGGAAGTGGCCGGAACGCACAGGCAGTACTTGGCTGCTGATGCTAGTTTAATTAGCGGTCACAGTTTTGTTTCCACCATTGGTGGTGAGGGAATGGCGGATACCCTCCACCACTACCATCTGTGTTTACGTCCGTAAACACTGAGCACGCTCCCTACGTATGACGTCGTTGTGTCCTCTTCTGCGCATGCGGGACACTTTTGGGTTGTATGAAGTTCACACAGCAGATCACATACAAGCCGCATTTAACTGGAAATGTAAACAAACTCGCAAAAAAATCAGAAAAAGTCTGAACGTAGCCAATCTGTCAGATTGTTTAATCAGATAATACGCCGTTATCCTTATTTGTGACATAAAATGTTGGAGTCGGAATCCAAGGCTGTCGGTATGTTAAGGCTGTTAATTTTTCCTAAAAACCTAGCAAGGTTTTCAGATCGTTAAGGGTCGAAATGTCAAGTCACGACTGTATTTAATTATTCTTCTGTCAGCTGCTGTTAGCCATGTTTAATGCTGTCCAGGGACAAACACAATGAAAGACGTTCAAACAGCTGATTAATCACGCAAGTTAAATGATCGCTGTGCTAGAACTTATTCATAAATGGTGTTTCCACTTCACATGAAGCGCACTAACTCCCAAAAACTACCTCAAGCAAGTATAAAAATGAACATTTCACAAACTCACGAGGCTTTTTTGAATAAAATGGAATCAGTGTCTTTTAACAGTGGAGGTCCTCTCATCAGTGATGATTTATAAAAAGGGAAACATCAAAGGCCAGTGTTTTCTCTCGCTGTCCATCCACCCTGACCTCCTCTCAGTGGGGGCTTTGCAGCTATGTAACAACATCACCTGACTTCTTGTATTGCTCCTGTCATAATTAACTCAGCTAATAGAGGCCATTATCACATCGACATAAAAATGTTGTAGGACATTTGTGAAAATATCTAATGCTGTGTCAGGAAGTTTAACAATGAAACATCAATGGCAATAAGCTGTTTGCACAAATGAACTGTAAGTGTTGTTTTTTATGGGAGGACAATGTTAGTATTTGGGACATTCAGTACAAGAGATGAGAAACGCAGAATCCTTCACTGGGTACCTTTAACACTGAGATTTTGAAAAGTTCAGCATTCGATGTAGGTGCTGTATCACCCACATAGTTCTTTCTGTTGATAGCATTTTAATGTGTTTTATGAATTGCCCACAGCGACCTCGATGGAATAGGTTCAAATGAATGGTGTGGATGCCATAAATAGTGACACTGAGTAAAATTCAGCAACTGATGCAACCAGAAAGAGCAGAGTATCTTTTATTAATTATATAGTTGTGTTGATAATATTAAAGAATGAAACTGGTCTGCTCAGTTCATTTTTTCTTTGACTTAAGAGCAAATTAAGTCGTTAATTACTTCATCAGAGTCGTTGCTCCGAGTAACCCTCGTTTGTACGTTTGATAAAGAAGCTTTTAACGTGGCCTCTAGTTTTCGCTTCAATGAGATGTTCAAATAGGAGCAAAATGTGTCTCATTCAAATCTAAACAGAGCAAGAGCAGGTCAGTTATTAAGGTTTTTGGCACTTGTTATAAAGCAAATTAACAAAAACACAGAGTAATACCAGCAGAAGTGTGAGTGAGCCAGATTCATATCGACATTCCTCTAATTCATATGTGCCCATAACAAAAGATAGAACAAGAAGGTGAATAGCAGCAACATGACAAACTGTCCGTGTTCACTGAGCTCAGATCAGCTTAATGTGCCAGTTAACTCACAACCTGTTTACTTTTTTTTTTTTTTTTTAAATAAACACCCAACTCACTGATAAACTGCCAATGTCAAATGGTTACGACTATTTTATGAGTGTATAGCAACCTGTGGTTTGTAATAAGATCAGATTTTTAAACAATAGCATCCTGCTTGAGGGCAACGTTGTAATTTCCAGTTTGACCTGATGGTGGCAGCGTTGTCTCTGTGTTCCAATGTCTAAATACACACACACTGATACAGAAGTTAGTCTTTTTGGTTTATTACTACTGATGAAAGATGCTGCTTCTCTAAGACACAATTCATTTGCTTCATTCACCAAAAATATTTGTCCTGATTCGTTTAAGTATTCATTAATTTAATTTCTGCATAACTACTGTTGAGCAGTAAGCTTAATACCATTAATAAGTTACGTGACCGAGGTACTGGGTCTCTTGTTCAGTCATGACTGAGGAACGTCTACCTGTTTACTAACTCACCAATTTTGATTGGCTTCTATTATGATGATAAGTTCTAAAATCCCTCAGCAGCCTGTACTGCTGAAAATACAGTCCAGTCGAGCCACCGAGCAGCCTACGACGAAATGTTTTCATGGAGACATGACAGATACAGTTTTAGATGTTTGGTGTAAAACAGTAGTGAAGTAGGACTCCTGCATCCTGCACTGGGAGTTAGCGGATTGGCTCCATAAACAGATTGGGTTGGTGCAGTACAATAAAAAGCTGCCCTCACTGCTTTGCTGAGGACAGAAAAACTTTTTGGTTTTGGTCCTGCTCATGTGAGACTTGGAGAATTCCCTCCCAAAGCGTGGAACTACAGTGACTAAAACTACAGCTTAAATTTGCCACCCTGAAGATGGTGTTTCGCCTCCGCAAAAAAAAAAAAACCTGGAAGAAAATACCAAGAGCGGCTGGACTGAACACTCATTCAGTCAGTAAAAGCTGTTTCGTGAAAAATCGTTTTGAGTGCGTGATATCTTGGTTGCTGTGACCTCTAAAGCATCAACAGCCACTGAACAGAAAGCTATACACAGACTTGTAAACAAACACTTGCTTTTTGGCCTCTGCACCTCTAAAACTAATCCAGCGCCCTGGAGCTCCGCAACACTGGAAGTGAGCAGATGATTTTCAGTGGAGAAAACAAGTAGCCTCAGTGTAAATGCTACCAGAGGAAAATCAAATGACTCACATTTGAATCCAAAGAAGAAACCTAACTCAACCTCAGGCACCCGTTTACACTGCACAGTATCATTACTTTGAAACCCTCAAGAGATGCAGCAGAGAACTGAATTAATAGACACGGTCAGGCTGAACTCCTGTGTGCTGAGACAGTAAACTGGAGCTGGCATGGCGAAATAATACAAGTTTGCAATCATACTGTGATGTCAGTTCATTGGCATCATTAATTAGCCAAGCAACATCTTACTCCCCATATTTTGCCACTGAATTTTATCAGCATTTAGTCCTTTGAGTAACGAGTCAGTCAGACAATTTTCTAAAAATCATGCTGGATCCAGATTTAAAACTTTTTTTTTTGCATAGGTAAGATGAATCAGGATATTCATTAATGCTAACTGATAATATAATTGCAGTCATTTTTTCAATACTTTTAGTTGAATTTCATGGCAATGTCGAAAAGCTCCACACTGCAGTGGACCCACAGAAAGCAGCAACGTATCTGAAGCATCACCGCTCACAGAATGCATCACTGCAGACTTCTATGTCAAGCAGTGAACTGGGTCAAGGTAAGAGGATTATAATGAAGTACCTGGACACGACAAGTGGGAGAATGAGCATCTTCAGCATCCTCATCAGCAGCTCCCCAGGAAACTGGAAGTACTTCACCTCCTGTCAGGAAGAGAGACAAGAAATAATGATAGCAGGTTATTTTAGGAAGTGCAGCTTTCAACAAGTGACTTGATGAACAGGAGCAGATGACTATAACAAAAACCACTCAACCCAATGGACAGAATGTCTTGCTCTGGACTCTTTTTTTTTTTTCTTCATCTCTTTGTTTGTGAGTTGTTTTACAGATATGGTTGCATCTATGTAGGTAGTAACCTCAACCAGCTGAACACAGTGTCAATGTAAGAGTTTAGGAATGACATTGTGCTGTACTTTGGTTTGTTATTGTACAGTTAATAGTTCAGATCAGACTCTTACAGTAAAATAATATCCAGCTGTGATGGAGCTCAGGGTTCATCTGTGTAACTAATTATTTAACTTTGATCATTTCAGTGCAGTTTATAAACTTTGACTCTACGTGTGACTATCTGAAGCAAGTTGTTGTGTTGAGTTGTGCCGGCTCTCTTTGGATCCTGCTGCTGGTATTAATAACCTCAGAAAAAAGACTTCTAACAGCTGGAAGCAACAACCTTAACCTAAGCTCCAGTTTGGCATTTCAGATGTACCTGTACTCATTGCAGTGTTCATGGGTGCTCGATTGGCTGCTACTCAATTTAGCTGTTAGTCCGGTGGTAAAGCCAATACGTACTTTCTGTGTTAGTGTGTCCACAAGACTCCTTAAGGTTATGTGTGATGTACATTTTGAAGTTCAAGTTGTCACTAACTGCTATATTCATTAAATAAGTGTAAAGTCACAGACAGCCTTTCAGAAACATTCAAAGGAACCCAAAGTGTGTTTCGTAAATAGTGTTTGCATGAATAGAACTGCGTTGTAAAAGTCTGAATGTGTCTGCGCATACATACGAGGTGTGTCAGAAAAGTTCCAGGACTGGTGTCACAAAAGATATACTTCCAACCCAAACTACTAACGAGGAGTTTTCCCCTTCAGATGATCAACCGGCACGTCTACAAAGAGATACTGCGGCATTTGCTTCGTTCAGTGTGCAGGAAGAGGCCAGAGCTGTGGCAGGACAAGTGGTGGCTGCTTCACCATGACAACGTGCCTGCTCACAATGCCCTGAGCATCTGACAGTTCCTGGCTGAGAAGAACATCTCCGTGCTGGAGCAACCTCCCTACTCACCCCACCTGACTCCGTGGGATTGTTTCCTCTTCCCCAAACTCAAGGGGGTCATCAAGGGGACCTGTTTAGAAGACGTGGACGACGTCAAGATGGCTGTGACGACGGAGCTGAGGAGGATCCTGGAAGAATCCTTCCAGGAGTGTATGGCAGGGGAAGTATGTTAGACTCCAGGGGGATTACTTCGAAGGGGAAAATTCTTAGTTTGTAGTTTGGATTTGAAATGTATCTTTTGTGACACCAGTCCTGGAACTTTTCTGACAGGCCTCATATACTGCGGTGTGGACATGCACAAAGAGAGCTTCAGACCCCCTCGTACTCAAAGTCGTTGCTATTGGAGCCAGTTCTTGCTTTCAGCATGTGCAGACTGATGCAGACTTTGGAAGCAGACAGCTGAGACGCATGTGGTTCTATTCATACTACAACAGGTACACATTGGTCTGCAGACAGTCACACTGGGGGCTCCTGTGGATGTCTCAGACATGCTGTAATTTTGTACTTATCACAGGACACAGCAGGTGTTTTCAGTTTGGGCTGTAGCTCCGTGTCAATGTGATTATTCCTGAGGTGTGTCGAGCACAGTGAGCAGACATAGCACATGATCTCTGGAGAATTTAGAACTTCCTATAATATTTGGACACCTTTGATGAATAGCACGTACAAATCAAAGTTATTCCGAAGTCCAGCAGCGACTACTTTAGATAATCTCTCCTTAAAACAAGCATTTGTGTTAAGCAACACTTTCTTTCCTGGCACATGCGCAAATGGCGCACTTCCAATCCAGACAGTCCACGCAGTCAAAACTTTTGGGCTACAGGCGGATGTCTGCAGAGGGGTCCATGCAGACCCTTACAAACTTGAATGGATGACAAGATTTACGACACCCTTGCGGATGCATATGTGGAAAACATGAATTGGTCTTTATACTACTTTCCTAGTCTGTGGGAGTCCACTTGGAGGACTGTGTTACTGCTGAACATGCGCACTGTTGCCATTCACGAGGGTCTGCATGACATCGATATCATCACCTTCCTACGTCCACCAGATTTTCCTTGGACTCCTCCGCATATGACTGCATCCAGCTCAAAATCTGTGTACAACTACAGTAGGAGGGTAATGGTGTGCATGCTCTGCAGAAGTATGTATATGTGGAATATGCAGATACAACTGACGGCACATGTTTGCAACAGGGTCGTCCAAGCAGACTAAAAAAGTAGCGTAATGGCCACAACTACGCATATGTGGTTGTCTGCAGCTTTCAGTGACACCTGGACATCAGAGTTTTATTGAATGAGCTTGACCTATCAGATCCAAAACCTTTCCAATGATACTGTGGTGGCTGTGACCCGAACAAAACTAAACTAAACTACTTATTTGTTTACCTCTAGAATCAGTATCTTCATCTAGCTTGTCTTCAAATGTGTTTATACTCGAGTTTTCTTTGATTCTTGTCACGTCCTCCAAGCGTTTATATGCACTATTGCACGTTATTAACTGTCTCCTCTCTCCATTTACCTCTGTCTAGGTATTTATGACTCTGGAGCTGCTCCGGTGTTAAGTACTTGCCTGCAGATCAGTTCAGTGTAAATGATCTCTCTGCTTTCCTTTTCTCTCCCCCTTTACCCTCACCCCAACAGGTTCAAGGAGTCTTTATTATATATCTATTATTATAATTTGCGATGCAGCCAGCAGTAAAAACAATCAATCCCTGCAACAATCGCACAGAAACAACAATAAACTACAAAGATTGCCACCATCCCTGAGTCACCAGAGGTCTTTTCCTGTTAAAAATGCATTTCTTCCTCTCCACTGTTGCTTGGTCGTCGAGAATCTTTGGATTTGTTGGATTTTCCGTGTATGGTTTTAGCCTTAACATTTAAATTTGTCAGGTAATTTGTATTATGTATAATATTGTTGGGAGGTCAACAAGATTATTTATTGGTTAATTTAGATATTAACCTTAATATCCAAATTTTTAAAGCAAATTCGTAATACTACATCGGAAAGCACTTGGTTTTAAATGTAGTACATAAATACCAGTGACTTGACTTTTATTCTGATGCAGAGCATAAAGTCAGCATACTTCTTACTGTGTGACGCTAGTTGACTCCCACTTTGTTTTATGGCAATAAATCCTGTCAACCGAGCTTTAAAACTCTCCCCAAACAACAGCACAAGTCTAGGGTGTGAAAAATCAACCTCATCGTGTATTCTGGTCACGGCCCTCTATTGCTCAACAGGTTACGTGCGTCACCAGAGACCCGTGTCAGTGAAAGCAATACTTTTTGGTGACTGATCATTTGTGTTGCTCAAGGAGTTAGAAGAAAAGAAAAGAGAGTCAGGGGGTTGCAGCTAAACACAGATTTAAGTCTAATTTGAACGGAGCAGGAGAGCAACCAGAGCACGTCACAGAGAGCTGTGTTGACGGTTTGGCAGATGTGTGCAGCTCTCACAGGACTTGTGTGTTTTTGTCCACCAGGCTTAACTCTGGCCTCCGTCCAGGGCAGCTGGACAGGAGGACAGCTGTTCTCTATCAGCTGTGCTGTTTCCATCTCCTTCAGCCAGATCCCGTATCTCCACCCTGTCAAAATGAGCTTGGCAGTGAATCAGGAGTAAAAAAAAAAAAAAAAAAGAAAAAAAAAAGAAAGCCTCTTTCCTTCCAAGTCATCTCTGTGCTCATTGTGTGCTTAAAGAGATCTGCAGCAGGAGTCAGTGTCCGATAATCCGGGACTTTAAAGTGTATTTGTCCTCCTTGCACCAGGATAGGATTAGGTCACACTGAATACTGAATGTGTCACAGAAAAGCTTTTACACGTTTTATTATTCTGTGATTAGGTTTGTAATATAATGTGTGGGCTCATTTTATGTTTATGTTCTTCACGTCTGAAGTGTGGGTGTTTTCATAAAGATGCAAAAAGGTTCAAATCTATTATTTATTCATTTATTTGAACTCTCTTTAGCTACACGATTCAGGCTTTACCGTAGGATTTTTTCAAAAATGTAAAAGGCATTCAAAAGGTCTCATTCTTGGATAGTGAGCTTATAAATGCGAGCTACAGGTGGGCCCCAATGATACTCTTATTTAACAGCATAATGGACACACAAAAGCTCTGTTTTTAAAGGTGATTGAACAATTATTGGGCAGCAATTACTAATCATCAGTCGTCATAACCATCATTTCTACTTTTTTCACGATGTTGTACCTGTGCTGAAAAAACTACATTGTGTGAATAAAAGTAATGCCACTTGAATCTGAACTTAAAATAATTGGAAATTATCCAAAACACACACAATGATAGACACCTTTCGATTATGATAAACCTCCATTCGACTTTTTTAATTTAAGTCTCCTCACTCTCAAAGTGAAATGTTTGGTTGTGATTTAGCAGCTAATGAGACAGATTCTTCCTTCAGGGGCTGGTGAAACTAAAGCAGCTTTATTCTGGAGGCAGACACAAACTAAAATGAAACTGTGATGTATGTCTGTATCTGCTGGATGTTAAATTGGAAAACTGCTAACAAGTTAACACGATAAGCTTAATCAGGAAGACTCTCTTCACATTTTACTTTGAAAGTGTTCTTTCCAATCAGATTTGACCTAAACCTCTGACTCTGAGGAATGATTTTATAGCTGTTTCCTCCTTGGCTTCTGTCAAGTTTCCATCAGAACTGAACTAATCCTGTTTTACATCACATCACATCCATCCACATCCCCATCATTGTTCTTTATTCTCCTTCCACCACCAGCTGTGTCCAGAGTCCTTTTGACGAACATTAACGATTTAATGAAAATACAATACACACAATTCTCCATGTTGCTAAGAAATTAGGACACATTCATGCATAACGATCTCCCAGTTTTTA